GGGAGCTGAACAATGAGAACACATGGACACAGGGAGGGGAACATCACACCCCGGGGCCTGTTGTGGGGTGGGGGCAAGGGGAGGGATAGCATCAGGACAAATACTTAATGCACACAGGGCTTAAAACCTAGATGACAGGTTGCTCAGTGTAGCAAACCACCATGGCACAGGTATACCTATGTAACAACCCTGCACGTTCTGCACGTGTATCCCAGAACTTAAAGCATAATAAAAATAAATAATATGCTGGGCTCTGTGGCTCATGCCTGTAATCCCAGCACTTTGGGAGGCTAAAGTGGGTGGATCACCTGAGGTCAGGAGTTCGAGACCAGCCTGGTCAACTGGCTCACTGTAACATCTGCCTCCCAGGTTTAAGCAATTCTCTTGCCTCAGCTTTCCTAGTAACTCGGATTACAGGTGCTGAGCATGGTGCTCAGCTAATTTTTTTTTGTAGAGATGGGGTTTCACCATGTTGGCCAGACTGGTCTTGAATTCCTGTTCTCAGGTGATCCACCCACCTTGGCCTCCCAAAATGTTGAGATTACAGGCGTAAGCCACTGTGCCCAGACTATTATCCCATTTTATATTTATATTTTTATTTATTTATTTTTTCAAATGGTGTCTCACTCTGTCACCCAGGCTGGAGTGCAGTGGCACAATCTCAGCTCACTGCAACCTCCCTCTCTTGGGTTCAAGTGATTCTCCTACCTCTGTCTCTCAAGTAGCTGGAATTACAGGTGCGCGCCACCATGCCCACCTAATTTTATTTTATTTTTTGAGATGGAGTTTCACTGTTGTTGCCCAGGCTGGAATGCAATGGCATGATCTTGGCTCACCACAACCTCTGCCTCCCAGGTTCAAGCGATTCTCCTGCCTCGTGAGCCTCCTGAGTAGCTGGGATTACAGGCATGTGCCACTACACCTGGCTAATTTTGTATTTTTCATAGAGACGGGGTCTCTCCATGTTGGTCAGGCTGGTCTCAAACTCCTGACCTTAGGTGATCTGCACACCTCAGCCTCCCAAAGTGCTAGGATTACAGGAATGAACCATTGCACCCGGTCAATTTTTGTATTTTTTAGTAGAGATCGGGTTTCACCATGTTGGCCAGGCTGGTCTCGAACTCCCAGCCTCAAGTGGTCCACCCACCTTGGCCTCTCGTAGTGCTGGGATTACAGGCATGAGCCACCATGCCCAGGCTTATTTTTAATTTTTTTAGAAACAGGGTCACCTTCTGTCACCTAGGCTGGAGTGCAGTGGCGTGGTC